GCCGCTAGTCTGAGTTGGAATTGTTCGACGGTCACACGACCATCGAAATCGATCTCTGATTCTCGCCTCGTAGTGTACGCGCGTTCCTCTCAGTTGTCGTCATTTAACGCAGTTGTCTGGCATTCTGTTCCGTTAAACTTAATCTACTAATTCGGTGATCTTTCATCCGCAGCGCTGTATATATAGCATCTATTTCAACGCGTCGGTTTATTGAATTGTCTGTAGAATACCATGCTTCCAAGAACTCTCTAGCTTGCCTCGAATTTCCACGCGCTAGCATCTAAACGTTCTATAGGTCGAAGTGGTAGCCTTCTTGGTCTTCATGAATGGAAACCATTGAATGCGGGTCGTGTCTTCGTATGGCCATTATGTGTTCGTCGATCCGTGTTGAAAGTTTCCTCCCAGTTTGCTCGATGTAGTGTTTGTCACACTTTGCAGTTAGTTTTGTAGATGACATCATTCTGACTGCCTTGTTTGACTTTGTCTTTCGGTCTTGGGAGCAATCTTCGCAAAATATCAGTTGGTTTGTGAACTACCAAGATTCTCTGTGGTCGTAGCAATCTTGACGTTAGTTCAGGCACATTCTTGACCTAAGGAAGCGCTACCCGTTTATCTATGTTGATGCATCCTCTTCTTTAGACTTTTTCTGATGGAGTTTATCGGATACCCGTTGTTTTACAATACCCGGTGTAGATGGTTCTCTTCGTTCTTCCTCAATTCTGTCGTGCTGCAGTGTGTTTCGGCCCTATTGAAAAGGCTTTGATTACAGCTTTTCTTGTGGTTCAATGGATGGTTGCTGTGGTAGTTTAATATTTGGTCTGTGTGGGTATTCTTTCGATATGCACATGTTTGAAGTTTTCCGTCAGTGTTTCTTCGGACCAGTACATATTAGAATGGTAACTGGTTGTCTTTTTTGAGTTCAGTTGTGAACTTGCTATCCTGGAATGTGTTGTTGATTAACTCATGAGTATTCTGTATGGAATCTTGCTTGATGATGACAAACGTGTCGTCCACGTACCTGATCCATAATTTTGATTCGATTAACGGTATTGTGATACTCTCCAGTTTTTGCATCATATCTTCCGCAATAAGTCCCATGGGCGTTCCTCGCACATGTCTCATTGGAAGCCAGTCCCATGTCATTGCCTAATGCTGGACATCAGATATTGCTGCAATACCCGTAAGAATGTATAACCGTACGTAGGTGCATACATATTTCGCCGAGACTTTGAATTTCCTCGTGTCCCTACCCGCTGCTGGTAATATACGCTATACAGTCAGATGCCTAAAGTGATGAGCCAGATATGTAATCGCAGCACGTTATTTTTTTCAAACAATCAGGACAATGTACACGTATGTGTCGAGTCGCATTACCTCATCCCACAACACTGATCTCACTGGTCGCTGTTCTGGCAATGCGTTCCAGAAACTGCAACCTCCATTTCATTTGCGTTACGAGGTTCTGGGGATCTGCGGCCAGAAATTCTCGTACTGCATTCCCATTTCATTCTTCACTCGAACCTTCACCAACTGCCAAACATTTTTGATGGGATTGAGGAACGATGAGTATGGGTTCAGTCTCAAAGTGGTTACCCCTTGGTATCCTTCGACTGACGCAAGTGCTTCCAAACGTGTGTGACATGGTGCATTGTCACACACTATGACCACCTGCCGGAGCTCCAATTCCCGCTTCATTTTGTCTAAAATGCCTCACAGCCGTTCGAGAGATAGGGGGCCAGTGATTGAGCCTCTCCCGGTAGTCATCGAAACCTTTCCATCCACTGCGAATGCACCGGTGATTTGCAAATTTAGGCCTCTACTGTTGGTTACTTTGACACAGGCCCTCATTCCTCTGGGCACCCGACCACGAGTACGTTTGTAGTAAACGTTGAAGTTTGTTTCGTCGATCCATATGAAGAACTTCCTCTCACTTTCCAGTTCGAGAAACTTTTGAACAAACTCCTTTCGTATCTCTTTGGTTCGGTCATTATTCATTCCTTCTGGAGTCTGATAGATGTTCTTCATAGTTATTTAACGGCCATCCAGATGTCGTGCAATTGTAAACTTTGAAATCTTATCCATATTGGCACGTATTTGGACCCGCATTTCGTGTAGTGTTAGAGTTACGTCCTTCGCGATACACTCTAGGATGTCATCAATCTCTTCCTCCGACAGAATGCGCTTACGACCGCGCCTGCGTAGTATCCGGCTTTTGATCAAGGGAGCGACGAATCCAGCAGTAGACAGTTTGATAATTCACATTGTTCACAGTTACCACGAGCTGCCGGTCGCCACCGTTGACGAAGGCATCCACAACTCGGTCACGAATGTCTGACGAGATACTCTATCGAACACGAGAAGGCATGTTGACCACGCTAGAATGAAAGACATCCATTCAGTCGTACGCCTATGTTCCGGCCGTACATTGCTCGCAGACCAATTGTGATCTGCCGTTTCGGACGTGAGTGGGACGCGTAGTAGCTCTTGGCATCGCCGATGTCCATGGACTCGAGGTTCATTCACAAATCTCACCTAGTCAATGGGAAGCGCGCTCACTT